ATATACAAGACAATGCTTTTATTTGTGTGTGTGTGTGTGTGTGTGTGTGTGTGTGTGTGTGTGTGTATGTATGTGTGTGTGTATGCAGGGTCTCATTATGCAGCTCGGACTTCTAGTGATCTTCCTGTTTTCTGCCTCCCTGGTGCTGGGATTACAGGCATGTGCCACCACACCCGGACTCCATCGCTGGCTCAGCATGCCCGGGGGCAGGGCCAATGTGGCATGCGGTGCCAGGGATCGAACCCTGGCCCCTGCATTTACCTAAGCAAGCGCTTAGTCTGCTGAGCTATCTCGCCAGCCCTAAGGCAATGTTTTTAGTATATTGACAAAGTGGAATAGATAGCTCTGGCCTCTAAGTTCAGAACATTTTCATCACCCCAAAAAGAAACTTTAGTGCTGCTAGGCATGGGAGGCTGAGGCAGGAGGATCTGTATGAGTTCGAGGCTAGCCTGGGCTACATAGTGAACTCTGGCCGTCTTTAACTACAAAGCATCACCTTGTCTCAAACAAAAGAACAACAAAAAGAAATTTCAGTCCCTCCCCATCCTCTGCCCACACCCCTGCAAACCAGCAGTCTGCTTTCTGTAGTTATGGATTCACCTACTTTGGACATTGCATGGCAGTGAGATCACACAGCACGTGGCATTTTGTGACTAGCATCTGTCCCTTGGCGTAAAGTTTTCCAGGCTCACCCACAGGGTGGTGGCGTCACTTCCTTTGGCTGGATGACTAATCCGTTCTTCATCCAGTTGAGAACTTTGAGGGGCTTGTACTTGGGAATACGGCCCCAAACTGGATCTTTTTGTGGGTAAAGACATCGAACGGGGAGGCAGACAGAACCGAGATCAGCAGTGGCCCAGTAGCGCAGCTAGCCACGGAGAGCCGGGCCCAGTGCTGGTCTCTCCACGAGACGACTCTTCGGGTGCCCGCCAGCTCTGGGTGGTAGCTTGGGAGCAGAGGCAGTCACTGATGCTCCATGTTTCCTGTTTCGCACAGGGGAGCTGCCATCACCCTGGGAGACAAGAGTGGAGCTGCGCTGTGCCGCGGGGCCACTGCCTGTGGTCCTCGGCCCGCAGCAGGCCGCCGTGCTGAGCTGTAGCCTGGGTGCTGCTGCCACAGGGCCCCCCAGCCAGGTGACCTGGAGCAAGGACGGGGATGTTCTGCTGGAACATGACCACCTGCGGCTGCTGCCCAATGGCTCCCTGTGGCTGTCCATACCACCACCTCATGAGGACAGTGAGGCCATGGGGACCATAGAGGGAAGCTATTCCTGCCTGGCCCATAGCCCCTTCGGAGCAGTGGCCAGCCAGGTGGCGATGGTCAGGCTTGCCAGTAAGTGCCACTGGCCCGGACTGAGGACCCTGGGGTGGGATCTGCACTTGGCTATGTGCCCAGAGGCTGCCCTTGGAGCACACGCCCTCCTCCTGCCATTGTCCTCCTCCTCGGGGTCCTGTCCTCCTATAGTCCACCTTGGGCTCAGTAGCCTTCCCACTGCTCTGTACCACCGGCCCTTTGCCCGCAGTGAGTTCAGAGCCTAGAGGCATGCTCACCTCGCTCACCTGGAGGAAGCCCAGAGAGGCTGCAAGAGGCCGTGCAGGCCCTGGTGGGCTCCTGAGGGCCGCGAGAACTCACTTCAGCATCTCACTGTGGAGTGTGTCTCTGTGGCTCGGGCAGGGGACACTACAGCCCAGCCTGCCAGCAGCAGCTGACCAGTAATCAATGCTTCTTGTCCCTTGTGTCCACCCTTGTGCTTCTGTCTCTGTGTGTGTCACTGTGCTCCCTGTGGCGCCCACCCCGGCCTCACATATCTGCCCTGTCCCTGCCGTGTCTGTCCATCCCTGTCCCCAGCACTTTCAGACTTCTCTCTGCACCCGGAGCCTGAGATGGTAGAGGAGAATGGGACCGCTCGCTTTGAGTGCCACATCGAAGGGCTGCCAGCCCCTGTTATTACTTGGGAGAAGGACCAGGTGACATTGCCTGAGGAGCCTCGGTGAGTGTCTTATGGGGTGGGTCCACTTGGGTAGGGCCAAGAGGGCTGTGGGGTGGGCATGGAGCTGGGCTGCTTCGAGTTCAGGTGCCTCCATTGGCTGAACCTACTTAAACCACTTCTGGTCCCAGAGAGAAGGTGGACAGCCATGCCCGAGGTGTGGAGGTGGCGGCAGAGTCCAGCCCCTGCCTCCCAGTGGACACCGAGACACGAGGCTGGGGCTCTTCCCGGGCCACCTGTGCGCCGCGGAAGCTGGTTGTCAGCACAGGGCCCTGAGGCTGTGGAGATCCTGGCCTCACCCTCTCTGCCCATAAAGGCAGTGGTAGACGGAACAGCTCCTCGGGGTGGAAGGAAGGATTGGCCACACCTGGGCAGGTCCAGGAGTGCACAGAGTGCGACAGGCTCGCGGCCGTCCCCGGCTTCCTGGGTGTCCCGCGCTGCTGGGGAGGGGGCTCCTTGGTTGGGGAAGCCCTGCTCCCATCCCCCCTCCCCCGCAACCTCGCCTCCCCGCTGTTTAGCTGTCTGCGCCCTCTGACTTCTGCCTCAGTGTAGATAGGCGTGGAGGTACAGAACCACTGACCTCAGGGCAAAGCTCACAGAGGGGACCGAGAGGCCAGATGTGAGCAATCTGGGGACCCAGTGCCCGGATCCCTAGCGCATATTTCTCAGCCCACCTATGAAATGGGGGAGGGGTCGATTGGATGGCGGTTTCCCAAGATGTAGTTTTTCTATAACACCAGTCCCTTAAGATGTTTCTTTTTTTTGGCCGAACCGGAGATTGAACTCACATCCTTGCGTTTGCCAGTCAAGTGCTTATCCTACTGAGCCATCTCCCCAGCCCTGAGAAAAAGTATTTTATAGTGAAATGAAACAGGGAGCTGCTTACAGCCCTCTCTGTTGGAGTTAGCATGGCGCCGAGAACGCGCTGAAAGCCCTGAGGAACGTGGCTATGCAAGCCCGGCCCAGGCCCACCTTGCACGCAAGGCAGCGCGCTCCTTCCCGCGGCGCGTCCCCGGCCCGCCTGGCGCCGTCGATCAAGCTGTGTGCGTTGCTGAGCCGCTTGGCCTCTACTCACTGTGGATGGGAGAACCAGAGCTGGGCCGGGGGTGCCCAGGAACGACCCTTCTGACAGCACCAGAGGGGTCTGGCCGACCTCTGCTCCCGGCAGGCAGTTCACGCTCCGACCCACAAAGTCTCCGACCTCACCCCTGAGCTACCTGGTACCCGGGCTCCCCGGGTGTCGGCCCCCAAGTGATCCTCATAAGCCAGGCTCAGATGTCCCCAAACGGGGGCTGGGGAGATGGCTCAGTGGAATAAGCGCCTCCCTGGCAAGCGCAAGAGACTGAGTTCGATCCCCGGTTGATGTCCCCGAACGTTGTGTGGGAGAGAGGCATCTAAAGCGGCGGCCTGGTTGTGCCCCAGGCGTGTGGCCGTGTGGCCGTGTGGCCGTGTGGCCGTGTGGCCGTGTGGCCGTGTGCGCGTCCAGTTACCAACACCTGCTGCCGCGGTGGCTGTGCATGCTTGGAAGTGACATTGAGGACCCCGAGGCACTTCCTGAGTACTTACACTAATTTTTAATAATAGGGGGCACGGGGGCCCAGCCCTAGCTCAGTTCTTTAAGTGGCTGCTTCCACAATGCTGGCAGCCTCAGTTTGCTGTAGTTCGATCCCCACAACACTCCAG